GTGCATGTGTGTGTGTGTGTGTGTGTGTGTGTGTGTGTGTGACTAAGAGAGAAAGAGAGGTAAAAAAATAGATCAGGACAAAAAAAATACTTGAACATAATAACTCTTCATTGCGAACATAAACTTAAATTAAACTGTTGAGGCGGAGAAGGGGTCCTAAAGAGGGAAGGGTATAGCCCCCTACTATAGTGTAACACCTTTTCATATCGTTTTTTTCTCATCGAAATGCATGACATTTTTAAACGCCTTACTAACAATTAAAATGTATTCATATGTAATTTTTTTTTTATCTTTGCATATGTTTTTATCAAATATTTTGAGCACAAAATATCAAAGTAGGCACAATCTCTTCCCGAGGGTCTGACCATCACCGTCATAGGTGAAAATAAGTTTTTTTCCGAGGGTCTGGCCGTCCCCGTCACAAGTGAAAATGAGGTTCGGGCATGAGCCTTAACCATTGCATCGTTGTGTTTTTGTTCGGGGAATAATTATGAAAATTGTATGATGCACTGCTACGGATTTTTTGGCTAATGACCGTTATCGAACGCATCGGTCCGGCACCGCACGTGGGAGTGCGGCCGCGTCACGCAGGAGTTGGACCAACCTCGTCGCGAACACACAAATGGAGCTTCCTTGGGCCGCTCCGGTCGAGTGCACCAGCCATACCTCTCGCGAGCCCGTACGACAGGATAGGGCCTACGCGAGGCACAACAGTACGAAAGCTACTCAGTTGCAATCGCAGAGGTGGACCAGCCGAGGGCGTTTCTCGTTCGCTGTAGCAGAGGGGTATGCGCGGTAAACCGCCTCTATCGAGCCTGCACGCGAACCGACATCTTGGGGGGGATGGGATCCCAAGCGTGGCCCGTCGTCGGTCGACTATGACGCATCCCACACACCACGCGCACACCACTTTACGAACGCAAAAATAAAACGCAAACACATGCACATACAACACGACACAACACAAACAACGCGACACGCTCCTAGCCCCTCGGTAACCAACCCATAACTTTTTGATGCGAAAGTCAAATGGGCGTCCCTCGCGAGGCTTAGTAGAAAACCGCGCGGACGCAGGGCCCACTCATATCGACTAGCAATGCCAATGTACGCAAGCAGTCGCAATGATGACGTACTATGTAGTGCCCATAATCATGAGGTCCTCGTTAATCTCGAGGGTCGCATTCGACACTCAAGTGTCAGCTGACATGCGCCTTGAGGGTTAATCTCTCACCGCCGGACAACCGCCATGCGCGGTTGAAGACCACACACCCTCTTCTGCACTCTGTGCAGAGCGGGTGGTACACAGGTCCAT